TTTTCTTTTTTTATTGAGTGTCATGTCATTGATGGTCTTTTAGAACTCCAAAATTAGTGATCTCTATCATTGTTGAAGATTTTCACATTTTAAAATAAAAAAATGAAAAAAATATAAATATTTAAATAGAATAAGACCTTGCCAGGTGAAGTTTGATTTTTGAATGTGATTGATTTATATAGTGAGATTGTTATTTTTATACTGGCATCTAAAAAATTAATATGAGAAATGATAATTAATAAATGGTGTAGAGCAATGATCTAACGATTTTTTTCACTTAATGAACTTGTTAGAGGTACTCTTAGCTCTCTAAATCTTTAGAATCATATGATTTGGTTTGATCCATATTGTGATTTGTGTTTTAAATATTTAAGAGTTCTAAAATTAGAATTCTAATTTGTGCTCTAGTACCGCGGCATAAGAAAGAAAAAAATAAATAAATAAACAAGCAAGCATAAACATTTTATATTAATCTCATCATTAAAATTCCTTCTAGAACTCCAAAATTAAGAGCTGTCAACCATTTTTCCTTCAACAAAACAATGAAGGGATAGAAAATGAATATTGGGTTGCACCTACAATTTTGAAATGTCAGATTTCCTTTGCCAAAAAGATATCCTTTTCTAAATCATCACGGGTGTTGACATAAAAGGAATCAAAGTTCAAACATTTAATGAACGTTATATCAATGTTTAAATAGTGACAATAACACTAAGCTGCCCAATTTTCTCTGTGTATGTATATATTGTCTCGAAATATCAAGTGATTTATTTATATAATATTTTAAATCAATTATATATAAAAAAAATTGATTAATTGTTGCTATTTCTTATTGATTCACATAAACAATATCGTGTGTTATTTTAAAAGTATCTAATAATTTTTCATATAAAAGTAAAAAAAAAAATAAGAATATAGATTTTAATTTGATTATGTTTTCTTTTTGCTAGTTTTTCTGTAAACTTTGGTCAAGTCAAGGTGAGGTCTAGGCCTCTAATGCAAGAAATTAAATTATTTTGTCGCACTCGAATATTAATGGAGTTGAGCTGTGATGGTGGTTAGTGGTAGTCGGAGGAGTAGGAAGAGGGATAGACATTTTTTTTGTATTTGCAACTTAAAAAAAGAAAGGGTATTTTTAGCATTATAGCGACATTGTGAAATTCTCTTAATAACTTCTATAGTGAATCAAAGAAGAATTAAGGACAACTCGAAAATCCATATAATTGTTTAAAATGTCAAGAAAAATGTATGTAATTGTCCAAAATAAACAAATGAACAAATAAATAAATACATAAAATACATAATAAATTAAATTAAATTTAAAAATGAGTAAATTACACTTTTCACTCTAAAGCTTTTGTCTTGATTTTATTTTGATCCCTCATCTTTTAATTATAAAAATTAATTTTTTGAATTTAAACTTATGTTTCAATGTGATCTTCTTATTATTTATTGTAAAGCATTTGGATGCAAATTACTCACGTGAAGGTCATGTAAGCACATTTTATGGGAATTAGAGAGAGTTTTGTATGATGAATTACATTTTTTACTCTTTTAACTTTTATTTAAATTACATTTTGATCGCTTATGTTTTAACATTCACTCAAATTTCAAATAGTGGAGTGATAGGAGAACAACATTTTGATAGGAGAACAATATTGAAACATGAGTTGTAATATGAAATTTTAATTATTGCAATTAGAAGAATGAGGATCTAAAGTAAAATTTAGGTGAAAAATCGATGGTAATTTAGGTAAAATTTAGGTCAAAATATAATTTGCCTTTAAAAAAAAGGATTAGTTTCACTTTTAATCCTTAAACTATTTTTTTCCCCTTTCTATTTCATCCTTAAATTATTAATTTCTTATATTTAGTCCATAGAGTTTTTAATTACAATATGTATAATTCAATTGGAGACAATCCATCTAAATCAATGACACAAAAAAAAAAGAAGATACACAAATAAATTTAGATAATCTCAACTATACAAGTTGGCCTAGTGGGGACATCTTAGAGGTTTAGGGTGTGCTTCCTCTAAATCTCAAGTTCAATGCTCACTAATTGCAATAAGTTCCTTGGGGTTAATTCATACCGGATGTTTGCTCTGGCTTTAAATGGTGTTTCGGCAACCAAATTAGAAAGTTTCCTTGGGGTCAATCCATATAGGACGTTTGCTCCGGTTTTAAATGGGGCTCCCGCAAACAAATTAGAAAGTTTGAAAGGCCGCATCAATGTGTGTACCTAAGGATGACTAGGGATTAGTCGAGATGCGCATAACCAATTTGTACATGAAGTTTGCTCTGGTTTTAAGTGGGATTCTCGCAATCAAATTAAAAAGTTTGAAGGGCCGCATCAGTGTGCATCCAAAGATGATTTAGTATTAGTTGAGATGTGCGTAAACTAACCTTGACATCTGGTTATCAAAAAGAAAAAAAAAACCTATACAACTAAAAACTCATCTTATTACTCACATTATATTAAACAATTAACCAAACACCTATCTTATTTTATTACATGATTTCAATGATTTAAATTTTAAAATGAACTTTTTGCCAATCAAATTAAATTTTAACAATTACGAATTTAAATAAAATAAAATTGCTAACTTAATAATAAAATTAAAAAATAACAATAATTTAAGAGATAGAAGTGAAATTAAACTTAACAAAATGCTAGTGTTATGAGTGAATGGAATAGAGAATATAAATAAATTAAATTTTAACACCACAATGCAAAAATTCCAAAATTACATATATTCCCCTAGTAAGGTATGTTTTTGAATTTTATTTTGTTTGGTTATCTCTATTTTTTTTAATGAATTTTTTATTTTCTATATTTTTTATTTTTAGTAATTTTTTTAATATTTTATGTACATTTTTTTATTATTCATCTAATCTGAATATGGTTAAAAAGTATAACATTTATGAATTTTTTTTTTTACCAAATACAAAAAATATAAAAATTCAGCATACTTTCATATTCTGTTATATAAAATGAATTTTATTTTAAATTTATACAAACTTTATATTTTTTTTACTTATATGAAGATTAAGTGGATCTAAAAAAAACCGGCAAGAGTAGCCCAGTTGGTTGAGGGTAAGGGACCAGGGACCTAGGAGTTTGCTCCTCACTAGGTCTCAGGTTCGAATTCCACCCCCAGCTGGCTACTAGCGGGCCACTACGTCTTTGCTCGGTCGATAAGCTCAAGACCCTAAGATTAGTCGAGGTGCGACACTCCAGGATGCTGGCCCAAACATTCGGTTATCAAAAAAATAATTAAAATAAATAAAAATACAAAAATACGAATTTAAAATTCAAAAACATATTTTAGAAACGAGGCAGAGAATTTTTTTTTTTATTTTGTTTGTTTTTTGTGTTGGAGATTTGTACTATATATTTCTCGTTTTGGGTAGTCTTGAATTATTCAGACCAAAGGCGCGGATTCTCGCTCCTTCGCTAGGTTTCCGTTTCTCTTCTATATATCTATATCTATTTATGTATATACATATTTAAACCCTTCTTTGGAGCTCCTCTGTATGTGTAATCTATCAAGGTACCCTCTTTGATGCCTCTTTGATTCTTTATATTCGTTTCTTTTTGCTTCTCTTCGTGGGTTTTCTTAACATCTCATTTGCATTTGGTTTTTTCATATGATTTGTTGGAATTTCTCAGAGTTTCTTGGGCATATGTAGATGTTTTTGTGTTATTTTTCCATTTACAAAAACAATGAAATAGTAAATTACTGCTGCTGATCTGGATGTTGTATATTTCTTGTATTTGGGTTTGAAAATTTTTCTGGGTTTTGGGTATTTTGCTGATTAATCTCTCCAAATTATATGCGGGGGCATGAAGATTCCTTATTCTAGGTTCTGAATTTTTTTAATATTTGGGTTTTGTTGATAGGTTTTGGTTAAATTGCAGGCGAGTTTTCGCGGGTTCTTGATCTGGGTTTTGAAACTTCATGTATTTTGGGGATGTTGCTAATGAATCTGGTTGAATTGTAGGTGGTTATTGTTGATTTTGGGAATTGTTTGGCGACGAGGATTTTGAGTTGGGTTCTATGAATTCATGAGTTTTTGGTTTACGTTGGTGAATCTGATTTAATTATAGGTGCTTTTGAAATTGCGTTTCATCCTCAATATCATGGGCAATTGATAAATTTGGTTGAGTTATTTCTAGGTCCATGTTTATTTCATAATTTATTGGTCTTGAAGGTTCTGGGGGGTTTCATTTATCGTGAGGCTTTGAGTGTCAGTTCATGAATTGGCTAAATTGTCTGTAGGTTTATGGTGATTTCCTGAATTGAGTTGTTGTCTTGGTGATTGTGACGAGGTTTTGTCTTGTGACAATGCCTTCAACAGATCATCAGGGCTCTTCTATGCCTTTTGCTTCGTTTCGTCGCTCAATTTTAAATATTAGGAGTGATCAGGTTCATTCTATGGAAATGAACCTCGATTCTGTTGCTCGGGATTCAGAGCTGGAAGCATTCTACAAACAGATCTTCGATCGATTTCGTGATCTTTCAGCTGCTAATGCTGATGAATTTCTCTCTGCTACATGGTTACAGAAGTTATTGGATGCTTTCCTTGGTTGTCAGGAAGAGTTTAGGGTTATTTTGTGCAAAAACAGTGCACGGCTCTCGAAACCCCCTTTGGATAGGTTTGTTTCTGAATTCTTTGAGAAGAGCGTTAAGGCCCTTGATATTTGTAATGCAACTCGTGATGGAATTGAGAAGATTCGGATGTGGCAGAAGAACTTGGAGATTGTTCTCTGTGCCTTGGACTCTCGACAGAGGATGTTTGGAGAAGGTCAGTTTCGTCGAGCGAGGAAAGCTTTGATGGATTTGGCACTTGTAATGTTGGATGAGAAGGAAACTGGATCTGTTCTTTCCCAACGGAACCGATCTTTTGGGCGTAATAACACAAGCAAGGATCACCATATTTTAGAAACGAGGCAGAGAATTTTTTTTTTTATTTTGTTTGTTTTTTGTGTTGGAGATTTGTACTATATATTTCTCGTTTTGGGTAGTCTTGAATTATTCAGACCAAAGGCGCGGATTCTCGCTCCTTCGCTAGGTTTCCGTTTCTCTTCTATATATCTATATCTATCTATATATCTATTTGTATATACATATTTAAACCCTTCTTTGGAGCTCCTCTGTATGTGTAATCTATCAAGGTACCCTCTTTGATGCCTCTTTGATTCTTTATATTCGTTTCTTTTTGCTTCTCTTCGTGGGTTTTCTTAACATGTCATTTGCATTTGGTTTTTTCATATGATTTGTTGGAATTTCTCAGAGTTTCTTGGGCATATGTAGATGTTTTTGTGTTATTTTTCCATTTACAAAAACAATGAAATAGTAAATTACTGCTGCTGATCTGGATGTTGTATATTTCTTGTATTTGGGTTTGAAAATTTTTCTGGGTTTTGGGTATTTTGCTGATTAATCTCTCCAAATTATATGCGGGGGCATGAAGATTCCTTATTCTAGGTTCTGAATTTTTTTTAATATTTGGGTTTTGTTGATAGGTTTTGGTTAAATTGCAGGCGAGTTTTCGCGGGTTCTTGATCTGGGTTTTGAAACTTCATGTATTTTGGGGATGTTGCTAATGAATCTGGTTGAATTGTAGGTGGTTATTGTTGATTTTGGGAATTGTTTGGCGACGAGGATTTTGAGTTGGGTTCTATGAATTCATGAGTTTTTGGTTTACGTTGGTGAATCTGATTTAATTATAGGTGCTTTTGAAATTGCGTTTCATCCTCAATATCATGGGCAATTGATAAATTTGGTTGAGTTATTTCTAGGTCCATGTTTATTTCATAATTTATTGGTCTTGAAGGTTCTGGGGGGTTTCATTTATCGTGAGGCTTTGAGTGTCAGTTCATGAATTGGCTAAATTGTCTGTAGGTTTATGGTGATTTCCTGAATTGAGTTGTTGTCTTGGTGATTGTGACGAGGTTTTGTCTTGTGACAATGCCTTCGACAGATCATCAGGGCTCTTCTATGCCTTTTGCTTCGTTTCGTCGCTCAATTTTAAATATTAGGAGTGATCAGGTTCATTCTATGGAAATGAACCTCGATTCTGTTGCTCGGGATTCAGAGCTGGAAGCATTCTACAAACAGATCTTCGATCGATTTCGTGATCTTTCAGCTGCTAATGCTGATGAATTTCTCTCTGCTACATGGTTACAGAAGCTATTGGATGCTTTCCTTGGTTGTCAGGAAGAGTTTAGGGTTATTTTGTGCAAAAACAGTGCACGGCTCTTGAAACCCCCTTTGGATAGGTTTGTTTCTGAATTCTTTGAGAAGAGCGTTAAGGCCCTTGATATTTGTAATGCAACTCGTGATGGAATTGAGAAGATTCGGATGTGGCAGAAGAACTTGGAGATTGTTCTCTGTGCCTTGGACTCTCGACAGAGGATGTTTGGAGAAGGTCAGTTTCGTCGAGCGAGGAAAGCTTTGATGGATTTGGCACTTGTAATGTTGGATGAGAAGGAAACTGGATCTGTTCTTTCCCAACGGAACCGATCTTTTGGGCGTAATAACACAAGCAAGGATCACAATCGTCATAAGCCAGGTCATTCACGGTCTCTCTCTTGGAGCGTATCTCGTTCTTGGTCATCAGCAAAGCAGCTTCAATCTATTGCAAACAGTTTGGTCCCTCCACGTGCGAATGAGGTCGTGGCTACTAATGGCCTTGCAGTCCCAGTTTTTGCAATGAGTTCTGTGCTCATGTTTGTCTTGTGGACTCTGGTTGCTGCAATCCCTTGTCAAGATCGAGGCCTTCAGATTCATTTCACAATCCCACGCCAATACTCATGGGGTACTCCGTTGCTTTTGCTTCATGATCGGATTTTGGATGAATCTAAGAAGCGTGACCGTCACAACTGTAATGGGTTGTTGAAGGAGGTTTATCAGATCGAGAAATCCATTCGTCACATGACAGACTTGGTAGATTCAGTTCAGTTTCCACTGACGGAGGAACAGAAGGAAGAAGTGGAACGTGGAGTGCAAGAACTAACACTCGCTTTTGATGCTTGTAAGAATGGGCTTGATCCATTGGAGTGTGAAGTGAGGGAAGCGTTTCGTAAGATTATGAGTTGCCGAACCGAAGGTCTTGAATTCTTGAACAAGGGAAACACTACTGGGTAATTTGAATTGGTATAAAAGCTACAGAGAATCAAATATAGAAATTTGCGAACGTGTCGTTATTTCAACTTTTGCCTGGGATGGTCAGCAACAATAAAAGATTGATCAGGTAAAGTTTTGTACTTATTGGTATATCATCTGTAGAGAACATAATGTTTATTGGATTGTCCTGTTTTATGGGTTTGTTGTCAGGTTTGCTTTGGTTTTGTATACTGGTTAATCTTTTGTTTGCTCCCCATGTTTCATGTTTGCTTCACATATTTATTTATTTATTTCCCTTCCTTGTAGTAATATACACTTTTTTTTTTAATCTTTTATTGTCCAAATCCATAGATTTCCTCTGAACATTGGAACTTTCTTGCTAATTTTGAACTTTAGCCCTTCATTGGATGATATGCATGATAAGTTCAATTTTTCTATACGGACTCCTTGTTACGGTGAAAATGCCATACAAGTTGTGGTAGATCTTAACTAACAGTGTTAAATGGGTGAATAAACCTTAACTAACAGTGTTTAAATGGGTGAATAAACTTTTGGGGTAGTCGTATGGAACTTTTTCTATAGTAAACCAAACAATAAATGAGATTTTCGGAGTGTGAGCCGTATATCTCACTAGTTATGGTTGGGTTAGTTACTTGATTCAGTTGGATCTTTGCAATATCTAGAATGAAACTCACAAATTGCATTTTTCTTCAATGGGTCCCATTAGAACAATTTTTTATTGTGATATTAAACTTTTGTAGCAGTGTAGTGGCGGAACTTGGGTGATGGTTTGGGGATTGGACTCCGTTGGTTAGGCTTAAATACCCTGAAGGTCAATTGTATGCCCGGATTGTAAAGATCCCCTCCAAGTAGGTGTGGTTCGTTGAGGGTGGGATGTACCAAGGAAATTGTGAAGGCTGTGAATTGATTGATGGTCATTGGATTTGATACATTATCTGATTGATGATACTTATACATTATATGAATTTTAAAAAATGATTTTGTCCAAAGTTGTGAAATTTTCGAATGCTGGAGAATCATCTGATCATGTTCAGTCTGGAAACTCCGGAGGATTATGTTGAATGTTCACCCATTAGGGTTTAGCAAAATAACAGGCAATGAAATTTACATAGTGAAATGTAAACCCTTTTTTTTTTCCTTTTTTCGTTTTATCTTACCCTTTTATTTAGGGAGTTTATTTTTATTTTTTTAAAAAAAAATTTATTTGCAAATAGTGCTTGGCAAACCCTAAACATCACATTTTTTTTAAATTATGAGCCAACCAATTTGTTGACCATTCAGTCTTTTCTTTTGGTCCCATATCCAGTTAGTGTTGCTTGAGGACTCGTGTCCAGCTGGAGAGTTTGGTTGCTTGGAGCAATGCCTGGGTGTCTATTCACTGTATGCAACACAACACAACACAACACAAGACTAGTTTTCTTCTTGTAAATGATTACTTTGAATTCAGTTTGCTTAGATGACCGCACCAAGCAAGACTATTGGTGCTATATTTTTTAAATCCTCACCACCACATAGCATTATAAGGGCTTCATTGATTGTATTTTTTGTTGCCCATTTTCTATTTTTATTTTTATTTTAAAGAAAACTTGTTTTCCTAAACTGTTTTCAAAAATTAATTTTCTGAAACCCCTAAAACTTGTTTTTGCATGAAAATGAAAATGATATAAGAATTTTTTTGTTTCTAAATACAAAGAAAACAAAAATACAATCAAAGCTGGGTGCATATTCCGGGAGTATCTAATAATTTTTCTTAATTATTATGTATTGGTATGATATCTACCAGTAGGTGTGTTAAGATTTATAATATACAGTTGGCTCTTTGAATCTTCCGAGCCACACAGCCAACCAATTTGTTGACCATTCAGTCTTTTCTTTTGGTCCCATATCCAGTTTGTGTTGCTTGAGGACTCGTGTCCAGCTGGAGAGTTTGGTTGCTTGGAGCAATGCTTGGGTGTCTATTAACTGTATGCAACACAACACAACACAAGACTAGTTTTCTTCTTGTAAATGATTACTTTGAATTCAGTTTGCTTAGATGACCACACCAAGCAAGACTATTGGTGCTATATTTTTGAAATCCTCACCACCACATAGCATTATAAGGGCCTCATTGATTGTATTTTTTGTTGCCCATTTTCTATTTTTATTTTTTTTTAAAGAAAACTTGTTTTCCTAAACTGTTTTCAAAAATTAATTTTCTGAAACCCCTAAAACTTGTTTTTGCATGAAAATGAAAATGATATAAGAATTTTTTTGTTTCTAAATACGAAGAAAACAAAAATACAATCAAAGCTCATCCGGGTGCATATTTCGGGAGTATCTAATAATTTTTCTTAATTATTATGTATTGGTATGATATCTACCAGTAGGTGTGTTAAAATTTATAATATACAGTTGGCTCTTTGAATCTTCTGAGCCACACAATCTGTCACCCAAAAGCCATTCCTGAATTGATGGAAATTTTAGTAGTGTGTGTTCCTATGCAAGTGATGTGAGCCCAGCTGGTTTCCATCAAGACATTAATGTTGTATTTCGTTAGAGAATTTAGAAAGAGAAAGGAAAAATGTAGCTAAAATATGAATAAAATATATTTATATTTTACATAGTTTTGCACATTTTTTTTCTTTTCTTTTTTCAAATCTCTCAACTAAACATGGTATAAGTGCAAAAGCACTTTCGGATTCTCCAGGTTACCATGGCTTGGGATTATGTTTGTGTTTGGTACGGTTTGTGTTTATAATTTATTTATTTATTTTGAGAATTGGTGCCTGAATATTTATTTTAGCTTCTACTTATAATTTATGAGAATAAAATGTAGTTTTAGAAAAAAAAAAAATAAATAAATTTTATTATTCAAAAGTTGGGAGATGGGTGTTTTTCTAATTTTGTTTTCTGATTATTATCTTTCAGCTTGAGAAAAGTTACGCCAAATATGTCCATAGTTGATGTACAGCTTTTATAACCGAAAGCTGTAGCCAATACCGTGTTGTAACTTGTTCATTTTTTTAATTCTCTTTAAGTCTAGCCAGTTGTTTGTGAAATTCTTGAAGTTATTATCAGTGTGTTCAAACCAGGCTGGATTTAGAATTTGAGAAGAAATTTATAGAGCAAAAGTAATAAAGGGAAAAGTAGTGAAAATTTGTGTATATATTATTCACTTTTTCATTTCCATGCTATTTTAGCCTATTTTTGTCTTTTTGTGAATTTTAGCCTAAATTGGGCTATTTTTTTTCTTCCCAAACACCCCCATTAGCTTCTACTTATAATTTATGGGACTACAATGTAGTTTTAGAAAAAAATAATAATAATAATTTTATTATTCAAAAGTTGGGAGATGGGTGTTTTTCTAATTTGGTTTTGGAAAATGTCTCGTAGCTCAAATTTTGTGGCTCAAATGGCCAAAACGACGTCGTTTTGACCATTTTTATGTTGTTCTGTACTCAAAACGACGTCGTTTTGACCATTTGAGTCACTCATTTGAGTCACTTTTGAGTCACAAAATTTGAGGTACGTAGCATTGTCGTTTTGTTTTCTGATTATTATCTTTCAGCTTGAGAAAAGTTACGCCAAATATGTCCATAGTTGATGTACAGCTTTTACAACCGAAAGCTGTAGCCAATACCGTGTTGTAACTTGTTCATTTTTTTAATTCTCTTTATGTTTAGCCAGTTGTTTGTGAAATTCTTGAAGTTATTATCAGTGTGTTCAAACCAGGCTGGATTTAGAATTTGAGAAGAAATTTATAGAGCAAAAGTAATAAAGGGAAAAGTAGTGAAAATTTGTGTATATATTATTCACTTTTTCATTTCCATTTTATTTTCCTTCACATCCAAACATAGCCTTACTTTTCAACATGTTTCTTTTGCAACTTGCTCCCCATAGCTTTTTTGTTTTCCCCCTCTTTTCCCTTTATTTACTTTTCCTTCTTCAAATTTCTTTATAAATAATCTTGTCCATTTATATAAATTATGTGTCTGGTTGTTGTATGATTGGTTTATGTGTTTTTAAACTTATTCATTGTTTAAAGCTATTTCTTATTCCTAATAAATAAATAAATAAAATAAGGAAAGTGTTATTTCTTAAGAGTGAAGAAAAGAAGGTAAAAAATAGATGCCACCAATAGAGAATCTATCTGCACTTTTATCCTTCAAGTTGTACTCCGTCCCTCTTCACCCCTAATCTGTGGGGGAGGTGGGATTTCATTTTTAGTTTTGGGTAAATTATGATTTTACTCTCAAAATGTGATCATCTTGTCACTTTGATTCTTTAATAGAAATATGATCCCGCTTAGGTTATTAAATTGTCACTTTGGGTTACATTTTACACCCTTTTTTTTCTTTTTCTTTCTGAATCATGTCCATAGTTCATAAACTAAACATAATCTTAAGGACCAAAGTGGAAAAAGGTCATACATTAGTGGTAAAAACATAATTCACACCATTTCTGTCATAAAAGTTTACCAGTCGTTAAAATTTAACCCAAAGTGATTCACATTTTATGTATCTTTTTCCTTCTGTTTTTAAATTTCTAATCCATGAATTAAACACAACGTAAAGAAATAAATAATAATAATAATAAAATTAAAAAAAAAAAAATCACTTATCTAACCCCCAAGAAATGATCCAACTAAAAAATCACTTTTTTTAGACTAGGTTTGGGTATATGGACCAAGGTGGGAAAATTTATCTTCCGGGCGATGAAAGTGGGAAATTTAATTTTTGAATTTCCTAAATTATTCCTTGACAAGTGACGTGAGTTGGATAATTGGATAAAAGTGTGAACGCCAAATTAATTCAAGGGTCAGGAAAATATTTTCTTAAAAAAAAAAGAGACTAATGGAAAATGAGGATTTGTTTCTCTTTTTTTATTTTTTATTAATTGGATTAGGAAAATGAGAAGAAAATGAATATTTATTTGTGAAAAATATTTATTTTTTTGTTTAGTTATAAAAAAGAATATGTTGAATAACTAAGAAACAAAATGTAAATAAGTTGAATATTGCTGGAATGAGGATGTTAAGGTTAATATGTAGCAAAACTAGAAAAAACAAAGTTAGGAATGAATATATTCGATAATGGGTAGAATTAATATCGATAGAAGATAAGTTGAGAGAGAATAAATTGAGATTGTTTGGTCATATACAACGGAGACCAAAGAGACAATAATGAAGAGATGCGATAGAGTGACAGTAGATGAAAGTGTTAGGGGAAGGGACAAATCTAGATTGACATGAGCTAGTGTAGTAAATAAAGATATGAATCTCCTTAATTTGACTAACAAAAGAACTTTGGATAGAATCGAATGAAAAAAAAAAAAAATTACGTAACCAATCCCATTTTATGGGATTTAAGATTTGGTTTGGTTTTATAAAAAAGAATATACGTGTTTTTTTTTTTTTTCTTTCGCAAACTTGAGCCAAACATAACCTAAAACACTTCACCCGTTAAAGTAGCTGGCATTCGAATTTAACAAAATCATGTAGTAAAACATTCGTCTAATTCAATCAATCCAACTCAATGAACAATCAAAGTTTTGTGTCCTAATCAGAACTGGATTCACCGCCATGGAAGGGAATATATGCAGGCATGTGCATGTGAGCTTGCATTAAAGTCCATAACATGCACGGTTTTTCCATGGGTTGTTCTTATGGAGCCGGACATTTAAAAAAAAAAAAAAAAGAAGACATTTTGTGGTGTTAATATTGGCCCCAGATGTTGGTGGTTAGGGGTGGTGAGAATGCCCACAATCATAAAACAAACTGTGGAGAAGCTAAGAATGGTAGAGGTAAGGTCCACCACCACACCACCAACAAGGTTTCCTCCACAATCATTTTAAACATCCTTTTAGTGGGTGAAAAGTGACCACACCGCTAACCTTGTGGAAGTGTCTGATGCTAAGGACACATTAAAAAACAGCCCCATCTTATGATCAGGATGTATCTTCTCATTTCACTCCACCATGGGAGATGTGTTGGGGATTAGCGCTTGACAATCTTCTTTATGTACATGACCGTAGAAGCTTTTCATTTGTTAAGAGTCGTACAAGAAGAATACAAATGGGGGATTTATTGACCTCCCTCAAAATGGGTGAGTGATAACTTGATCATAACCCTATCAAGAGTATTCGCGACAAAGAACCAGTGACCCAAAAATTGTGAACAAGAGTCTCACCCTAACCCATGATGCCGTGTCCATCAAATCACTTTGGAGGAAGTTCCTCGTGTGAAACCTTTCTTGCGGTTATTACCTCGCCTCATTTTAACCATTACAAGCTAATGGAGCTTCTTTTGGGCCAAGCCCACAGGCTTAGATCAATGAGCTGAGATTCAAGTTTATTTTTTTGGGATTTTTTTTCCCTTTATATTTAATTTTTTTTGCCACGCGCACAAGCCAACAAGCGAGCAGGCAGCCTGGGCTTCAAACCCTAGCCCCAAGCTGTGTCTAAGCCTCATTTCAGTCAGGCTAGCCTGCTCACCTAGCGTACGAACTTGGGCCAAATAAAAATTCAAAGGGACGAACGGGCCTTCAAGTCCAATAATGACTCTTGATTACAACCATGATTTTCATAGCTAGTGCATTTCTTCTATTTGAAGTAATTATATGGCGGGAAACTGTATTAATCTAATTTAATTTTATTTTAAAAGCTTAAAAGAAAACTTGTTTTGTATGTTATTTTAATTTACTAATTGTCCTAGCTTAAGAATGAGGAGATGGCTAAGATCAGTGTTGCCTGTGCAGCAATCGAAGAATTCTTCTCTTTTCGCTCCGATCAGATGGCCAAATTTTATGATGAAGATACCTTTGAGGTAAAGGCAATTACAACCTACAACTAGCTGTTGCTTCAAGGTGTTGGATGACAATCTTTTCACGTATGGCAATTTCCTAATGGTAAATGGATCGGATTCGGATCGAATCTGTCAAAATTTAAATCCGATTCAATTAAGACAAACTCGAATCCGATTCCAATCCATTTAACCCATATTCGATTATAGATCATCCAGATCCGAATCCGATGATTTCGAATATTTGATCCGGTCCATTTTATTGAACTACAATTTTATATAATTTGATTTTTTTTTTCTTTTCATTTTGTGTATTCTTCATTCAAATTGAGAATAATCGGATCGGATTATCGGATTAGATTTTTGCATATTCAATAATAAACGGAATAAACAGAATCGGATTATCGAATTGCTAGATTGAATTTTTTGTAAATGGATTCGAATTTTTCAAATCGGATTCATGTTGGAATCGGATCAAGTCCGGTCCATTGACAGCTCTACTTGAGGGCTATTTGCCAACTATTGAGTTTGGGATGCCTAGACCAATTATTGAGTTTTGAAAATATAAAGAATGGTATCAATTTGTTCATAAAAATAATTGGGTGCACACCAAAAAAATATGTAAACCGAGACCCAATCCTAGACAGGGTCCTACACACCCACTCCAGAAATTCAAATTCAGGATATGCGCAACTACCCACCCACGGACAAAGGACATAAAGACTCAAACCTAAGACCTCCCAATGAAATCTGGGTGACTCAACCCAGATTTGGCAGACAATTCGAAATCTAATTAAAATTTCAACATTTTTCTTCCTCTTCCAAGGTGGATTTTCACAGGTGCTGCAAAACCTAGGTGGATTTTCATTCTAGCAGTTAAAGCAACCAAAGCAAAGCATTAAAATCTATTACACTCCCATGATTAAACAAGTCACTTTGCAACAAAGGCTAGTTGATGGTTTTATATCGGCATCAGTTCATCAGGGCCTGTTTAATGGAGTATCATATAATTTAATGTAATATTTTATATATATTAGTCGAGGTTCAACAGTCTCCCCTACTCCCAGAAGCATCCGCGGGGAAACTGAACTGTAAAGTGAGATATTTTTTTTTTTTCTACAACACCTAACTATGCAAATCAAGGAACCTTCCACAAGATGTGGATGAAACCAACCACATCCATCTCCAGTTCTAACGAATTTACTTAAGAAGTGTCTTTGGCTGCACTCAGCTTTCTCTTTACAAATCAACACCACATCATCCTAAACTAACAGTTGCCCACCAAAAACGAACATCGGACCCATACCTTTCTTTTTCTTTCTATCTTTCTTTTTGTATAAGAAGCCTTCCAGCTCCGCTTCAGAGACAGGCGAGAGAAAACCAGTTTCTTCCATCTTTATTGTCAACCCATAAATTAAGGAACATCTACCCGTCACATGGAATTCACTCTTCGAAGAGCTCGTGGTGGTCTTCGCTTCTCCACAACAGGAATCAAGTTCTCCATGAGCTTCAAGTGATATACAAAAACCAAAATAGGAGGTTAGACTAAGCGAAAGAAAAGGTTCATTTGGACATGTAGCAGAAGGCAGACTACTAAGGGAATGCATTGCACATCAAAGATTACTAATATGTATGAAAGGTATCAGATCCTATAATATTTGTACTTTGGTGAGAAAAAATTTCAGTGACAGCTACAGTTTTCCATGGGCAGTTCTATCCGAGCATGGAAGGGGTTTTGCATTCAAGAGCAACATAATGGGCACACTAATCATAAGTTGAAACATCATCAAGAACATAAAACTAAATCTTCACAAGCTAATGTTAAAAAGATGCTCCTTTGAGTAAGCAAAACAGCTAAAAAGCACTACTTGTCTCAACTTTTTTTTGCAATTGCACTGACTAAAAAACAAACAATAAGAGAGTGTGACCACACAATTCAATGCACTCCCATCAATCCACTTTGAGCACACGAGTACAATTTCACATGACATCTAGGTAACTTCTATCTTTCTTTTTTTCAGTATGTACCTGGTAACTTATATCTTACCACATAAATTAGTATAAATGCAAAAATTAGACAAATTTCGTCACTATGGAAATCTTATCAACAACCGTGAACATGTCCACTTCACTACTGACAGCTGGCTCAGCTCTACTCTCAAATGTGGTCCCTAATGGGAAATGGATAAATTAAAGTGAGGCGCTAGTTGCATTCCAAAATAGTACCCTGGCACTCCGCAATAAAAGAAAATTACAATATTACCCTTGTGCCTCCCTTTTGTGTCCTCAGTTCTGCATATTCTCTCTCTCTCTCTCTCTCTCTGTGGAATTCCTCTACCAGCGTCACATTGTTTCTCTCCTCCTTTGATCCCTTTCCATGGCTTCCTATCAAGTACACAAAAAGATATCTTTTTGTGTCACTTAAATTTAAATCTTTTATTTTCTCCTTCAACTGATTTATAGATCTTTGAACGCTTACACTTGAATGATGAAATTTCTAAAAATTATGGATGCATTCAAGACAAAACTACACCATTTGCACAAAGATTCAGTTGAAGAGTTTTTTTTTTTTTTTCACAAAAAAAATAAAAAATAAAATAAAGGTTTCGATTGGATTGAGGAGGATTATTAAACAAGAACAAACTTATTTTTTCCTTTTCTTTTTGTTTTCAAATATATTTGTATGCAAGTGATTGATTTAATAAGAACAATACATCTATTTTCACATCCTTCTGAAGGTTTTAAAAGGGTCTGATTTGGTTGAAGAATCATTTATATGACCTCATTTTCTGGAAGAAACTGATAAGGTATAAAAAAAATAAAAATAAATGAGAAGGTGTCACTTTGAAAGGCCCAAATTGAATTTAACGAGCCTGATAACAGGTTTTGGGAGACAAAACTACCCACTAGTGTGAAATTTTATGTACAACTTAATTACTTGAACTGCAGTTGCTATTAATTAAACTTGCAGGTGAGGCAGTGGAGAAGAGAGAGAAAAGAGGAGAGAGGAGAGAGGAGAGCAAAAGTTCCAAGGAGAGGATGGCAAGATAAAATAGCATCAAAGTAACACAGATGGAGGATGTGCACAGGAAGAATAACTGAAATGAGTGACCATAGGCATTCTTGTCATCCCTTTATCTGTATATAGGGGTGGAGTCTGAAAGTGCAATTTTGGAGCGCAAATAGCGCCTCCCTAAATCAAATCCGATCAAAGGATTTTTCACCAGCTAAACGGGAGCTTGTACTCTTGGCAACAATTGTACGTGTGTATTGGTGCGTGTGTATTGGTGAACTTAGACAGTTACTAATGCTCTGAGGCAAGAGAACAAAGCAAGAGAGATAGAGAGCTCTTTGAGCCCCATGAAAATTGTTATGTACATATCCAGGTTTGCACCTTTTAAACAAGCCAGGTAATAGATCGTGCGTGTTCATGTTGCAGCCTATGAAGCACAGAAACTTCAACTTAGTTGTTCTAGCTGTGTCCAACATGTTGAATACGGACACGCCACATGGCATGTCCCCTTCTTTTACTTTTTTCTTTACCCGGAGACTTTAGGGACATGTCTACTGCTTCTAAACACACCCCAAGACGAAGTTATCTTGCCATGAGCTATAGAAAAAAGTCTCAGAAACTCATAATCATCACCATGTAAACATGTTGCATAAGTTAATAATCATCACCATATAGTATTCTCTCATACTCTTTAAACAATACAAATAAGTAGCATTCTCTCCTTTAATTTCTGAAGTAGTGTTTGATTGTTGAAATTGTTGCAAATTTTTACTGTTCTTTTTTTTATTTTTTATTTTTTTATTTTTTTTTTAAACTTGTAACGGTTATAGAAAAACTCGTCTTCTTCTACTTATGCTAGTAGCACACCCATAATTTTTTTGTGTTGATGAAGGCAACTATTCTAATGTAATGGTTTATGATTGATAAAATCATATTTTCTATATTAAATAATTTTAAATTGTAGATTGAGTATTTTTTTCATGTTAAATTAGTATTAATTTTATTATTATTTATAGTTGTTTTTTGATGTAATATTCATATACAAAGCAAATAAAAATATATATTTTTAATATGTATCCCCACAGCGTCCATATCTTGATTTCTTGGAATTCGCCTTGCCCCATGTCCGTATATATGCTTCTTAGGTTGCAGCAATGCTTTTAACTTCAGAATGGTCCAAGCTCAAGTAAGATTAATTGCACAATATACTCTAAAACCACACTAATGCATCCATATATCACACATTGCTTAAACTCAGGCTTTATCATGTAAAAGCCAATTTATGAAAATCATTATAAATCAAGGAAAACAGAAAAGCCAATCATGTCCCCAATATTTGCCTGTGACAGTTCAATCAATTGGTTTTTCAGACTCTAAGCAGGAAGAATAGTACCTCACACCCAACCCAGAAGTGTAATTGTCCTAACACTGTGCCTAATAATTGAACACTGTCTACTTGGCTATGGAGCACCAATGTTTCAGGCTACTGCTCTTTGTATATCATGTAGAACAATATGAGCTATGCAAATGATGCATCATGCAGCTTAGTTAGGATAGAAAGGCAGAGAAACCAAACTTGAAAATACTAACATCAACAGCAAAGTGAAAAATCTTGATTTCAAACAATAGCATTTCTCACAAGGGAATGCTATTTCATTATTTGAAATCCGTCCAACCTTAGCAATTGTATTTACATTAAGGTAATGGTTAGTTCACTGGAATGAAGTAGAATGGAATGGTCATTCCATCAAAATATCCATATCCAATGTTTGGTTGACTAAACAAAATAATGAAAAATATATTGCAAATGGAATCCTCGTTCATCATTGCAAGGGAATTATCATTCCATGAGATAACCTGAGGAATGATCATTCCATTCCATTTCAACTCATTCCAATAAACCAAATAGAGCATAACTTCTACAAGGAGACAGGTGAGGACAAGGCAATATATATGTACCATTATTTTCACACACGTACATAAAGTGCATGTATGGTTCCCATTTCTCGATAAGTAAAGCATCATTCAGAAAGAGCAAACAATGCCCATGGGGCCTTAGCTGTGTGTGAAGCAAAACAAAATGTATAGCCTAGACAATTCTCTATAAACCATAGTGCCAAGAATACAAAGATGAATCTGTAGTAGGTTGATCCTTTCCGTGACTTAGTCATACAATAAGCTCAAAAATATACATTGCACTTGATGCATGAGGGCCTAAATGCCCTCAAAAGACCAATGATTCCTCTCTCCCAACAAACACCACATCAAACATAAAGGAGCAGTCACCAAAATCTTCTTCTCCGTCTCATCTTTACACCCTCCCCAACAATAAAATAGATCCGCCACTATTCTAGGGAATATTGAGGAGATAGTGAACAATAACAATAACAATAACAATAACAAACCCCTCATCTCCCTTACTTCTCAACACTAAATAAGAAGGTAATCCATAGATTCACCTCAACTTTTTGCACATGCAACACCAATAGGAGAGGATTCTCTTCTATTAATCAAATGACCAATGGCAAGTATCCTTCAGTGAGCTACCCCTCAACCCAAAAGAACCAAATCAAACTAAAGCTAGTATCCTAATCAGGTGGGGTTTGCTACATGAATCCTATTTTGCCATTTTGCTTTGTCAAAAGCTATATGCTCTATTAAATTAAATAAATTCATATATTTTTTTACTACCACATCCCATGTTAGTTTATGTCTTACTCTTTCCTTGGCATTTTCATTTACAGTGATCATCTCATTCTTCTTAACCGTTGCATCTACCAGTTTTTGTTGTGCCTAATGAAACCATTTTAGTATATTCTCTCTCAACTTATCTTCACTGCATATAAGATTAATGTGAACTATAACTAGCAGTAAATAATTTAAACATAAAATTATTATACTTTGTCGATAAAATACAACATTTATGTAATAAGTACGATCTCCCCTTAGCCTCACCCTCAGCATTATTGTTGGATATGCCACTGCACTCAACCACTTTCTCGTGCCTTCCATTAAGCTCATGCCATATGATGTGGTGACCTCAAATATTTAATAATGCTGAACAAAAATAAAGAGGGATTATTGGTATACCTCTAGTGCTAAATAATCCTGCAAAAGATTGCCTTGCTTGATTACAAGCCTCCACTCCAACAGGCAATACCAACCAGTCCAAGTAGAGACTACAAGAACCTCTTTGAAATTCCACACTCTAAATTCTAGGGCTCTCAAATGGTGGTGGCCTTAAGAGTGAAAGACAAAGGAAGAGGAGCATCACGTATAAGAGGGAACTCACACACTTATTATGTACCGAACTCTTGTACCCACAAGTAAACACAAACGGGAGAAGTGAAGAGGAGATATTTATAAATACCACCTCCATTCTTGATGAAGTCAGAAAAGGACAATACCATGCAAGGGAATAGTAGCCAACTAGACAATCTAGGTAGCGACAATAGCAAGAGACAAGACCATCATGTCAAAGGTGATGAAAGTGTGTACTACACAACATTCCAAAGAAATGGGACAATGATGGGTAGCCATCCTACCCACATGGGTGATGACATACTTCTAACAAACAAAAAACTGCATGCCACTGTTTCACATGCAAATCTCCATTACCTAGCAAATCTTGGTTACACGTATCAAGCCTTCAAATGAACAACCCCACTTCAGTTACAGGTAAACAAACCATCTCCAATCTGTTAAATAAATTTGACCTCTCTGCCCCCATCACTTCCTCAAAAAAATCCAATTGAACCTTCTCCAACTTGTGCACTACCAAAGCTAGAACAGTCAACAATAACTGAAATTAAGTTAGAAGGCTTGATAAAGTACTCTTTGTGAGAGTACGTCAGCTTAGCTTTGGCTAAATACAGAGCCTGCACCCTACCAGACTGGAATTTCTCCAAGATTAACCAATTGATTTTTCAGCCTAAAATGGCAAATTTATAACCTGAAATTGCTGATTCCCTATAACATCTAGCAAAACTCCAAAATCTCTTCATAGTTTTAGTGTTCACATAATCATTTTCCATAAATTTCAAGCGACCAAGGACCTCTAAAATTTGGTCAATTTCAACCCCTTCCATCTAGACAGTATAGGATCATTTTTCCACATATAAGAATGACAACCTTTCTTTTACTAAAACCACCATTTTATATGATGCAACTAGGAGGGTGTTTGTTTGCACTTGTCCACCATCAAGTGAATTTCTAACAAGAAGACTGAAGCAGAGAAGCACAAATTGAACCACATATTGGTAAAACATACCTGTTTAAACCTTTCCTTAGACTGCTCAGCCTGCAAATAAAAAATTCCCCTTTAAAAAATCAGAACAAAGTATTATAAAGCAAAAACAAATATGATTCTTTTCAGGAAATCAACAATGGAATTTCCAGTCTCCAATGTGATCTTCTCAGTATAGTATGCAGTTAGCTGAAAAATTTAAGAATCACAACATAAACTAAACAGCGAGAGCAGAAGAAAATGAAAACTAATTACTGAAGTTCAGTTTCCAGGCTCTGAAGAATACAAAGAGCAGAAACATAAAACAAAAGCCACATATACCCAGAATTCATTGGATGAACTTCCTTGTAAGCCAATCTACTAAATAATAAATCAAAATTTAAATGATGAAAATTTTATGGTCCAAAAGCATATGAACAAAAAGCATGAAATACAGAGTTCGAGGATTATTTGCCTTGCATCATAAATTGCAATTTTGGTAGTCTAGATTCAGGCAATTAGACTGAAAATTAGATAAATAGAAGGATTATCAAACAATTCATATGCAAGTTATAAATCTTGACATCATAAATCATAGTTTTACTCCAAAAGCCCCATCATAAAGAAACTTTTCTTGAAGTAAGCCATCAAATCATGCACAAACAAAGCTGAATTATGCCCAAAACAATACCTCTTCTCTCAAAAGCCTGGAGTTCTCCTCCTCCAACTGAGTCACCAACGATTCCAGCTCAACAGTGTAAGCCTAAAATTGCAAAGTTAACCAACATGCATCCATTAAATTATAACCCCAACAACTAAAAATTGAATCAGATTGAACCAAATTTCATAAAATCACCTGCTTTCGCTCCCTGGACCTCGCCGCGGACTCTCTGTTCTTAATCATCCGCCTCTGTTTCTGCTGCGTCGCCTTATCCATGGGCGGCTCCTCCACCGTCCTCCTCTTCCCTCTTCCACCTCCTCCACCGTTTCCTCCGCCGGCAACAGCCACCATCCTCCCATCAATTCCGTTCCCAAACCCTACCGAATCAACGCCGTAACCCCCTGTTTCGTTCTGCAGCGGCGGAGGAGCCTGAAATTGAGCAGCATTCATCATCGAATCAGCACCAAACCCCGCCGGAGCCTGCGAAATCACCGGAATTCTCACATCCTCTTCACTCACAGCACCGGCCTTAGTTAGAAAATCTTCGAGAGTCATCTCCGGCTCCCGATTCGCTCCTCCTCCTCCACTGCCTTCAACGATCTCCTTCCAAACTTCATCGACAGTCTTGTTCCCAACAGTCTTGGGCAAAGTCAAGCTGGCTTGCCGGGAGAGAGAGGCAGTATCGCCGCCGTTGACGGCGGAGGAGGGAAAAGCTTCGGAGTCGCCGTAGATGTTCTTCAGGAGTTCGTCCATGTTCATGGAACCAAAGCTCTTGCTCTGATCGCACTGGAGGTCAGCAACTGTGAGGGAATGTATAGAGGACTGGCGTGGCAGATCCGGATTCGTCGGTGATGTAGACGCCATCACCTTCGACGACGCCATACCCCCGAATTCCTAGGGCTTGTCGATATATATTTTTTTTTTTTTGGGGGGAGTTACCAGCTGCAAATCTATCTCTCTCTCGCTCTCTGTGTGTATATCTCTGTGTGTCTCTGAATTCTAGGGTTTGAAGTGAGGATCGGAACAAACTGTGCACAAATCTTGAAGAAGCTCGCAGTGTGAGAACGTGAGTCTCGCGAACAGTTTGAATGTGTATGTGCATATAGATACATAGATATAGTGAGAGAGAGGAAAGCAGTTGAGAGAGATAGAGAGGAGAGAGAGTATGTGTGTATTTGTTTTACCCATTCGCGGAGTAGATAAGAGACGTGAGAACTCGCTGCCTGGGACGAACATCTCTACAAATTCGAGGGTATATATGTCATTTCAGTACTGACTTGGGGCTAGAGTGTTTTGATTGGATTCTGGTATTCACTTATGGGCAAATGATTTGGGTTGTGACCCCCAATGAGAGTATCTTAGTATTTTTATGTTTAAAATGTCTTAAAAAGTATTAAAAATAAAATAAAAAAAGATTTGAATTTGACAACAAATTAAATTTTAATTTTAAATTTTTTTAAAATTTTAAAATAATATTAATTCTAATGTGTTATTTATAACTAATGGAATAGAATCCATTTAAGGATTTATTTGAAAAGTAGGTTGACTTTTTAATTTTTTAATTTTTTTTTATTATTTTAGTTTGTGACTAAAAAAAATTTGATTTGAGAAAGATTTTTGATTTTTTTAGCTTTTTTAACTTTTTTGTGAGAGTAAGAATATAATGATTATGGATTGAATGTGATATTTTGTTTTATTAAGAAAAAATCACTCATAAGTCCCATATTGGAAAATGTTACTCTATCTAGTCCTGAGTGTTTTTTTGTAAACCATTTAGTCATTTTTTTACATCCGGTGATGCTACCGACCCCCAGTGGCACCCCCAGTGACGTGACGCGCTGCCATTGGCTGAAAATAAAATAAAAAAATTTTGGCCAATAGGAAGAGACCCCCAGCACCCTCACTGGGGTCTCATGCATTTTCCTTTTACATCACAACATTATCATTAAAACAACATCAAACATCATCATCAAAACAACATTAAACATCACAACATTATCAAAACAACATGCAGCCTCCCTATTGCCGTAATGGAACATGCTCGATCAGATCCCTTTCTCTACCTTCACCAAACTCACGTTCTCCCTCCATTGCCCCAACAAACACACACACATACACACACACACACACACACACACAAACACACACACTTGTGTGTGTGTGTTTGGTGCCTGAGAATCTGTGTTTCTCTCACAAGAAAAACGATGAAGAAGTTGATCCGACAGTTTCAAGACATCATCAAGATGTTGCTCTGGTTCTCTCTTTGCGATCGCCGGTGGGATCCAAAACCCATATCATCACCGCCCAAAAAACCCTAATCTGGAACGACTCTGTCGACCGACTATCCCTCTCCTTCGACGGCGAACCGGTCCTCCTCTCCGCCGTCTCCGGCGCCACCTAGCGGCCCACCGCCGTCGTCGGTGTCTCCATCACCAGATCTCGCGATGCCAAGTCGGTGGTGATCAAAGTTTGCCTTGTTCGGTCCGATTTTTTATGATGCTTCAAATTAATGAATCTGATGAAACACCCACAAACACCCACAATCTGATGAATCTGATGGATCTGATGTTCTAATGAATTTGATGATGGATCTTGAGCAATAGTTTCAATTTTTTTTAAAAATAAATCTGATGTTTGATGTTTGATTAATAATCCTAATATTTAATGGTTGAGAATCTGTGTTTAATGTTTGATGTTTAATGAATAATTCTAATGTTTAATGGTTGATGTTTGATGAATAATCCTGACGTTGCTAATGTTTGATGTTAGATGAATAATTCTAACGTTGCTAATGTTTTCACTGACATTATACAAATAATTCTGACATTGCTAATGTTTGATGTTTGATAAATAATTCTGACGTTGCTAATGTTTGATGTTTGAAAAGAAGAGAAATCATAAAAAGGCCTATAGTAAGGTTCTTGGGAAATAGGACCTGTACGGGGAGCAAATATTCCGGCAAGCCCGTATTCCTTTCTTCCGAGCTCTGTCGATGTCCGATCACCTGCGAGCAAGTAATGGTGAGCTACCCGGCGGTGTGTGGCCGGAAAAACCCTCCGACGATCAAGTTAGCACACACCTTAGGATGGATAGAGAGAAGGGAGAGAGTGTTTGAGTGTAAGAAGTCCTTACAGAGATGTTCGTGTGTCGCGTATGGGGGGCGCAGACATGCTTATATACCTTCTGCGCCCCATATCCACTCCCAGTCATCTCCTGACACGTGGCTCTGCTATCTCATCTGTCAGCACAAACCTTGCTGAACATCACCTAATCTCATCTGCCTGTCATCACAACTGGAGCTCGGCAGCCGAGCTGCCCTATGCGTTGCTGCGCCGTGCCGTGCTTCATACCCAAGCGCTTCCCTGGCAAACTCCAAGGGGGGACCGGGCTAGGCGGCATCTCGGCAAAGCCTAACCCGAAGCACCCCGTGGTCAGCTTTCACGTCGGTCAAACGTTAACCTCGGCCGACCGCGCCATTCCGGGCGCCGGTCACTCGGCTTGTCTGGCTTCGGCTAATCTCGGACCGAGCATCCTGGTCCGACCGAGCACTGCCATACCGAGTTGCTTCTTTACTGGACGGGACAGACTCAGCCTAAGTTCTGCCCGGCCCAAGTTCTGGCAACCCTTCTCTGGGCGAACAGTCGATCATCCCGGCCCAATGCACTGCTGGGCTTTCAACCTGATCGGTCGATATCTCGGCCCAACTCCAGATCATAAATCACCCTCTCAAGAGCCCCTTAATTCCGTCCGCCAAGATAACACTTCCCCGTCCTCCAAAGTTCCAAAGGGGAACCGAGCTAGTTAACATAACTGTCCACAAACCTGCCCGGTTATACTTCTCGGCTGACATCTGTTCCTTTGAAAGTACCTCGGTTGGCTCTTCGACTCTTCAACCCGTCGCTTCAGTCCTGTCATCGCCATAAATGGGGACACGTGGCGGGCTGCCATTGGTCATCGGGCAGCCAACCCGCCGTTTTTGCCAGATTTTTGAATTTGGGCGGCCTTTCTTACTTACATATACAGGACCCCCCTCAAGCCATTTCTTTCTATTGCTATTCCGTCTCAAGACTCCAGAGCTCTAGCATTCTCGCCATTGACTCGTGTGCCATTCTTTGTGCTCGAGGGATTCGACCTCGCCCTTCACTGGTGAGTCCTCCTCCCTCTATTTGGTTGCGATTTTCTTTCATGATACACACATTAGGGCACAAAAACATAGCTATTAGGGCATAGGTCGTAGAATCCGCACCTAACCTCCCATTGTTCTTGGCGTTCTTCATATTCATGAAGAACACTGAAAAACTGGGGTGAACCGGGCTCCTGGTCCTCTTTTGATCCAAAAAACCAGTCCAACCGAGCAAATAACAAGTTTGTCTCGACCCCAGCAACAACCGAGATAACAAAAGGATTTGGTCGCTCAACCGGGCTAACATCTGGTCTGCTTGGGCGACCGGGCTCCTTAGATAGAATAAACAACCGAGGTTGTTTGGCAGCCTTAATGACCGAGCTAAAATCCAGCTCCTTTTGCGCGACCGCGCTAACACTTAACAGTTGCCATCCTTTTCCTGCAGAGTCCAAGGGGACCACTGTCATTCCTGAGGCTCTCAGGACCGAGCAGCATCCAATAACCAGTGCCAAACCCCTAAGCCGGGAAACACTAAGCCGGCCACAAATGGGGAAATTCCGCTTCCTAGTGGAAACTCCGGCCGCGCTAGCTGCTTTCAGAGAGGATTACGGCATTCCGGCCGATGTTCATCTCGAACTGGCTGAAGAGGAGACCACTCCCTGGGGAAGAGTTGACCAATGCCCCTTCACCGTGCTCTCAATCGTTGAAGGGGGCCTCCGTTTCCCGCTCAACCCTCTTATAACCGAGTTCCTTCGCCGCACCGAGCTGGCACCCACCCAAGTGTCCACCAATACCTATAGAATAATCAACGGCGTTCACGAGTTGAACAATCGGCTAGGCACCAACTTGGGTCTAGCCGAGATATTAAGGCAGTACACAATGGGCCACACCGGGGACGGTTTGGCTTATTACTTGAAGATCAGACCGGGCAAAGAAAAAATTGTGACCGGCACCCCGGATAAAGATCTTCACGACGATGATTTTTTCTGGGTGTCGGACAACCAACTATCTCATGTGCTATACATCCTTCGCAAGAAATGCAGGCACCTCTGTTCGAAAATCCGGTGCCTGTTATGGCGGCGCCCGAGGCCCAAAGTTGTCATCAGGAGATTTGGGAAGTTGAATGTGAAGTACTCTCAGCCCAAAGAAAAACCAACCACCACCTCTACGACTCATCTAGTGGGTGGTGTTGGTGCTCTGCGAACAGGAAGGCCTATACGCATTGCCACGTTCAATGTTGCCATGTTTTCACTTGCACCGGCTGTCCCAAAGGCAGAGAAATCAGTTGTTTACATTCATGAAAGTGAGACAAAGTCTGCTGTTGAAAATCAGCCCAAGAGCATACTGAAACAGAGTCCCCTGCATCCCCTGATCAAGCCCAAACTCAAAGTTTCGATCAATCTTCCCGACAATGAAATCTCATTGGCACAGAATAAGGTTGTCAGTTTTGTGGGTGATGATGGTGATCACACTGTAAGTGCAAAAAGTAGAAAATTTTAAAGAATTTCAGTGAAGATAAAGTTTTATGGATGTTATATTTAATTGATTTCTAGAGGCTAGGCTCTTAGAAATTTTGTTTGTATCATATTTTTTGTCATTGTTATAACGTTTGTGCTTAATATTTTGTTTATTGTTCTGATAGATTAACAGAGGCCATGGTCCAATGAGATCACCCGTGTGCTTCCCTGCTGGGATGTTTAGTTACATGAACGACGAGTTTGCCAGAGGCAGCAGCAGAACCATTCTTGATGTGCTGAGAGAGGTTGATGCTGATATATTGGCTCTGCAGGATGTGAAGGCAGAGGAGGAAAAGAAGATGAAGCCTCTGTCGGATTTGGCACGCGCGTTGGAGATGAATTATGTGTTTGCGGAGAGCTGGGCACCGGAGTATGGGAATGCAATCTTGTCCAAATGGCCGATCAAGCGATGGAGAGTTCAGAAAATTTTCGATGATCAAGATTTCAGGTGCCTTTTTTTCTCCCTCCTCAACACTAGAAAAATTTAGTATTGGAAGTTGAATTAGCCATTGATTTTGCTAGTGCCACTTTGTTTTCTCTAATGGTAGGATGGGCATAGATTGGCATTTATCCTGCTCCTTCAACATTCTACAAAAATGGGTTATGCTTAACTATTGAAATTCATAGCTGTTTGGGTTGAGGGATTTGATGAGAAAAGGAAAGAAAGAAATTCAGCTTATTATATTTGGCCAGGACCTTGCCTAGGTTGAGTTCTCTGTCATTCAAAAACTTCTTTTTTGAGGATAGGAATATGGTTTTTAATTAGGGTGAGAAATATGATGGAAAATCAAAGTGATAGAGAAGTAAAAAGAAGAAGAAAAAAAATTTCTTGTGTGCATTTCGTTAAGATGAAATTGTGTGAGAAAATTATAATGGTTGGCTTTTTTCACTTTCTTTTTTCTTTTTTCTTTTTTTTTTTTTCTTTTTTTGGTGTAATTTTTGCAAGAAACTAGAAACAAAGCTATCAAGCTGATATGAGTTGTATAAGATTTCACTTTTTTACATTTTTCACCACTCTCATATTAAACAAATGAGGGAAAAGTTTCAATTTTTTTCTCTTTTCCACACTTTCCACCATTTTCATCTTAACCAAACTCAGTCTAAGAAATTATTATTTTTGCATAGAATTAGGGTGTAAGCCACACAACTTATACTCTATTTTTGCTTAATATTTGGATGCATGAAGGAATGTGTTGAGGGCTACAATTGATGTGCCATACATGGGAGAAGTTAACTTCCATTGCACCCAACTTGATCATCTAAATGAGAATTGGAGGATGAAGCAGATTAATGCAATAATCCAATCAAATGATGGTCCCAATATCTTGGCAGGTGGGTTAAATTCACTAGATGGATCAGATTACTCATCAGAGAGATGGACTGACATTGTCAAGGTAACCCTTAGTCTTGTTACATAGTTGCAACATACATAAAGTAATTTTGTGGTAAGAAAATTATTGCCCCCACCTAACAAAGAAAAAATAAACCCATTTTTGACCGACCTTAAGACTCAGACGTCACCGATTGAGCGCTTGGTGATGTTGCATATCGTGCTCGTTCAGAGGTTTCAGAGTCTCGGCTGCGAGCCTTGCCTCCGGACTTCCAGACTCTTTCATGTTTTGCCTCGGTTTGTGAACCAGGCTCTGTTTTCTCTTCCCGAAGGGAGGGAGAGGTCTCGTAGATCATCTCTCAGTGGCCGTAGGCTATGTTTCGTGGTCATAGGCCATTTTGCCCGTTTGGAGTCCGGTTTCCGGTTTTTCAGAGCCATTGGCCGTGTGCCTCGGTTCGGGACCGCTTAACCGCCTCCGTTTGCTCCGATTTTTGGCATACATCTTATTTGCTCCCTTTTGAGGGACACTGTGGCTCGAGAGACCAACTTCGTGGTCGAACACCACTTCCGGTGCCTAACAGTCAGTTTTCGGGGCCTCGGGCTGGGCGTTTCGGCCCCCGAACCTTCATTTTGCATCGGTTTGGGCTCATTTTTGGTGGAGACATTATTTTCACTGCTAAGAAGGTCGTAGAAGGGTGGGAGGCCAGTAATTGTTCTGACAATCAGTTTTATTCCTCCATCGCCCTCCGTCGCCCGTTTTTCTCACTTGAAAGCCAATGTTGACCACCCTAAGGCCACTTTTTCTAGCCCTAAATCACATATTTGTGTTGTACACACCTGGGAGGCCACCAATATCATGTTGACCACCCTAGGGCCACTTTTTCTTGCCCCAAACCACATATTTGTGTTGTACACACCCACCAATATCACATGGCCGGCTAGTAATTGTCTGTGACCCTTTTGAACCCCTCCTAAAAGTGGCATTTTCTCTCTCTTGGTTCATTCTCTCCAGTTTTTGACCACATGGTTGTGTTGTGCACACATGAGAGGCCCTCTTTTTGGCACGACCGGCCATTAATATTCATTGACCCTTTTGACCCTTGGCCGACCACTCATGGGGAAGGCCGACCAGCCACCTAAACCCTAGGAAACCGGCCGGCCATGATCCTCTCTCCAGGTACTTTACAGAAGTGTATTCTGTTTCCTCCCAGATTATGTATCCGGGGGGGGCAACTTTTGGGGAGAAACTTGAATTCCATTCCCCCCCTTTTTTCCCCCTCTTTCCCCCCCCTCTTTTGCCTATATAATAGCACCTCCAGCTGCATTAGAAAGGGTTAGAAATTTTGGTTTGGAGCTCCTACATTGTATCTCTCTCTCTCTACATTCCAACCCTCAAAACCTCCCAAACCCTACACTATTTCTACACCGCCACCTAGCACCTTGCCACCACCATCCATTTCAGCCACTTGGAGCTGTTTTCTAGAGCTAAGGAGCCACCAAACTTGGTCCAAGAGTTGTCAAAGATTTGGTCTTCAAGGGTAAGTCTTATCCTCCCTCTTTCTTGCCTTATTTTGCTCAATATATTAGCCATATTTTCTTGCATATTTGGGCTCCGACCCTAACTAAAAATAGCATTATTTTGAGGTCTTTTTCATGTTTGTTTTAGGGTCCTTCCATGTTTAAGGTCCCTAGCTACCACTTGCTTCTTTACCTCTCTTGTACGCCTCTTTCTTGCATAGTATTTTAGGCCTATTTGTAAACTGTTTTGAGCTTGATTATAAACTGAAAAGTGGATTATTTTGAGCCCGTCTTCAACATTTTTGAAGGGCTCTTCACTGTTTGAGACTTCCTTTTGTCACTTGCCTCTTTATCCCTCTTTTGGCCTTATTTTTGCATGTTTTGTTATCCCCTTGTGCTTGTATTTTTGGGCTCTGATTTGAACTGTAAATAGTCTTACTTTGACCCCCTCTTCATGTTTGATCAAGGGAATTATGCTGTTTGAAGCTCCCTAATTGCTCTTTGTGTTTAAATCTCTTTTTAGGCCCTATTTTGCATAGTACTTTAAGCTTGCATGTGCACTGTTTTGGGTTTGGTCACTAACTGTAAAATACCATGTTTTGGGCCCCTCTTCAACTATGTTGAAGGGTCCTCCTCTGTTTTAGGCCAGAAACCGTCACTTGCCTCTTTGTCTCCATTTTGGCCCATTTCTTGCACAACAGTTGAGCCGTACTTGTGTTTGTTTTCGTGGCTTGTTGTAAACTGTAAAGTGCTTCATTTTGAGCCCTTCTTCAACTTTGTTGAGGGCTCTTGGCCATTTAGGGTCAGCATAGGCTACTTGCTTCATTATCTCTCTTACGGGGCCATTTTTGCATGCTAACTTAGCCCTATTTGTGTTCACTTTTTGGCCTTGCTTGAAATGGTAAATACACTTGTTTCGGGACTGTCTTGATTCTGTCTTCATACTTCATGTTCAAATAATGCATGCTTTGCATAGCCATAGGTCATTCCATGTACCTCATTTCATGTTTCGGGATTCATTTCATGCATCGGGTGCCATGTTTCCATGATTCGGGGCTGTTTTGTGTCATATTTTAGCACTGAAATTTGCATGTTTATATGTCATGTTCGATGCCTTGCCATGCTTTGGTAGAGTGGCATTCGTGCCTTAGGTTCGGTCCTCGGTTTGCGTGCATGTGTGCACGCATTTCGAGTGTTGCATTTCCATCTCATGGCTACTAATGTGAGTGTGGCTGAGGTCCACTCATGTTGGTGTAAGTCCATTATGCATTGTGTATGCCATTTCATTTCATAGCAATGCGTATGCTAGGTCGTATGTTAGCGCATTGTGTATGCCATGTTATCTCGCGCATTGTGTATGCCATCTCATAGCATTGTGCATGCTAGGTTGTATATTAGTTGCATTCATGCATGTCATGCATATTGCATTGTGCTTGGGATAGGAGTTAGCCCGAGCACGGGAAACGAGGGACGTTTCGTACTTCGAGTGACGGAACGTATCTCAATTCATGGTCGCCGACACTCCGGATTATCCATGATGGAGTCTAGGCCCTGTTGTGTTTTCATATGGATTCATTCTATATTGAGTTGCACAATTCGACTCCTCGGCCATCATGCATCGAGATGCGTGATTGGTGGCACGAGGATCGAGGCATGCATATATTTGTGAAAATACATTGCCATGCCCTTTTCCTGCTCTCTGTTGTAGCAAATCAAGAATCAGCAAACTTCCGGAGCTTGACACGCTTTCCAAGAATAACTGCTAAACAGAGGCTAATTGGGGCATCCCGGTGGATTCCGCGCGAGGCAGCCCAGACATGCATCATTCATCAGAAACAAGGCAGTCCCTAGCTTGCACGCCAGTTTTACAGCTTTCTTAGTTAATTTGATTAATTAATTAGGAATTTGTATATTGTTTGGACTGTAATATTTGGACTGTAATATTCTTTTATTCGGACCCTCTGCGCGGGGGCACAACTGTAATAAGTGTGCGTGTGTGTAATGTATGTCTTCCAACCCCACGTCTTTCTCCCTTTTATTTACCCGCTTATGATGGTTAGATTTATTGGGCATATTTCAATTAGCATACAGTATGATAGCATGTTGCATCACTCATCTGTTTTGCACGCACCGGGCTCGGCGAATCATACTAATTGCATTGTATTTTCAATTTCAAGTTGAATACATGTTAGCTGTAGCATTTTATATGCCATGTTTAGAATAGCCGAGCCTACTATAGTTGCATTTTTACATGTGTTGCATTAGACATTTCTGCATAGTTAGGATCATGCATGGATTTCTAACCTAGCTTCTGTTTCGGCTTGGAGTACTCGGTAAGTTTTACGCTTTTAGCATCCTTGCCTGCATTTGAGTGAATGCCATGATAGCATGCTTACCATGAGACTATGTGCTTATGTGAATATAAACTGCCTGAATGCCTGTGGGTGAAGGTGGGTTATTTGAATTGGAACAATTCATTAATTGTGAGTTTTAAGCCCACTAGATAGTGGCAAAATCATGTTTTTAAGCCACCTGAGGTGGCAAATCCACGTCTTAGCCTACTTGCGAGTAGCACCATCAAACCATTTTCAAACAAACAAACATGAAATGTTTTGTTCCAATTCAGGCAATCTAGTCTATACTTGTATGCTGTGTGCACCACATAGTAAATCTAGGCTAATAACCGGAATAAGAACGCATAATGTTTTCAAAAATAGATATCATGGTTCGAAGAGGCGCGATCTTTGATCGTGGGCCTCGCTATGCTCACGAAGTGACCTTCCCCAATCGTACCCAAGTTCTCGAGCCGAGGCAACTTTGGTGATGACGGACACGTGGCCTTAGGCAACGAGTCAGGGTTTCTTAAATTTCCTAAAATAAAACATTTAGGTGGCGACTCTGTATCTGGCAAAGCAGTCCATGTTTGGTACTTCTTTCAAAATTTGTTTTCTCAAAGCGATTTGCCAGATTTGGACTCTTTGGTTCAGATTTAGAACCGTGACAATTTGAGAGTCCGAACTGTTGTGAGCCCGATATCGAACGGAACAGGGGACTCGTTCCTCCCGGGGCATTCGGGGACGTCTACACTAGAGTATGAGACTCGCTATACGCCGTTGGAGAAGGCTTGCTTAGCTTTGGTATGGGCTACCAGGAAGCTGCGGCACTACCTGTTAGCTCACTCCGTAATGTTGGTTTCACGACTCGATCCCATCAAATATCTTTTCGAGAAACTGGCACTTACGGGTAGGCTAGCTCGTTGGTTGCTATTGCTTTCCGAATTCGATCTAAAATATGTGACGTGCAAGTCAGTCAAGGGAAGAGCAGTGGCAGAGTTCTTAGCCGATCATCCAGTGGAAGTGGGTGAAGCAGTTGAGTACTTATCAGATGAAGCCATTTTGCACATCGACGACGAGTATTGGACGATGTACTTTGACAGAGCGTCAAATCAGTACGGGTATGGGATAGGAGTGTTGTTGATAGCACCCGATAATTCCCGTTTCCCTCTAGCCTTCAAACTCCGGTTCAGAGTCTCGAACAACAAAGTAGAATATGAGGCATGCATTGCCGGTCTAGAAGCAGCCCTGGAATTAGGAGCAAGACGGTTGGACGTCATCGGGGATTCAAACCTTGTT